ATATATATATATATATATATATATATATATATATATATTTTGTTGTATAAAAGAATATTTAAAAACTTGCGGCGCTAATGATAAAGAGATCTATCCATTGGCATATTTGACCTGAAAAACACGATAATATCCTCTTGATCAAACTGGGCTTCTTATATTTATGCATTAGGCCACCTGTCGCGCATCTGCGTGTTCTGCAAACCAGAAACCAGACATCCCTTATTGACTTGTGTTCCTGGGGAGTAGAGGTGGATTATTGTTATTTCAGATTTAGTTACGAATAGTTGCTGCTCTCTCTCTCTCTCCTACGTCTAACGGAAATAGAATAATTTATTTTGTTGTGATAGTCAACGAATTAAAAACGAGTTTCTTTTTTAAACTGATAATACATATACAGGTTGTCAATTTGAAAACGAACAGATTACCTTTACCAATGATAGTATGAAAATTTGGCGAAACACGTCAAGGGGGACACATTTTTGAGGCATTTGTTGTATTACTTTGAACCCCCTGACCCCCAGGGCACCTACCCCTAAAATTTTAAATGACAACTCCTATTTCTTTTACCATTTTTGTGTTTATGTAATTCTAGATAAATTGCATTATTTTTTTTGTCAAAATTGAAGTACCTAACCTCACAAATGTGTTGAATGTGTTTAATATCTAAATTAAATAATGCAACTTTTTAAAAAAGTATAATGATGTAAGAAAAAGCTTACCTTGTCTACTTTATGAATTGTTCAAAATGGTTTCCATTGTGTTGTAAGCACAAGTACATCCGATATTCACACTGTTCTCGGACGTGTTGAAGAGTCTCAGGTGAAATAGTTCTACATTCTTGTACAATTCTTTGTTGCAGTTGTTCAGTTGAGTCTGGTTGGGTTTTGAATACAACGGATTTCAAGTGGCCCCACAGGAAATATCCAGCGGTGTCAGATCTGGCGACCTAGGTGGCCATTAAGATAAATAACAAAAATTGCTATTTCGCTATTTTCTCGATATTTCAAGTTGAAAATTTGACCAAGTATTACAATATTTACAAAAATGGTCGAAACATAATAAAATCGGTATAAGCTCGATATGTTGCTTTATTTCTCTTTTAATTTAGTTTAGTTTATATGTTTATACCAAAGATTACCAAGATGAGACACTACATTTATGCCGTAAAAATAAAGCTTCTGAGTTTGAGTGTACATGACGTTGCCAATATAAGGTCTTTTCCTTTGCATCGAAAGTGCAGCACTAAGCTACGCCACTTCTGAAAATATCGTTCCATCCATACACTTTGTATAAATGGAACGATATCATGTATTAGAAAAGCTGCCAAACTGATACATCGACTAATTGAACACATATATTATACAACCATACAAATTCAATAAACTCTCCACAAGAGTTAAATAATTTTATTTTGAGATATTCATTATAGATTGATATCTTATCGGATATTTTGTTCACATAAAGCAAAACACCGCTCTCTATCTAAATGATGCACTGCGTTGTCTTCGTCACACTTCTTTCAAGCGAGTGAAATAGAATAGTGTTTATGAATGAATTGTTACTGTTCATGTTTACAATAATAATTGTACCGGGGTCGTTTCTGGAAAAGTTATGGCGGCGACTGTCAGGATTGATACGCCATGGGCCTACGAAATTTTTATAAACGTATCACTTTCTAAGTCGTAAAACACAATTTTTTAATAAAAAGAAGTCTAATATCAAACAAATAAAATCACAGAGTCTCAATTAATTAATATGTACTAGTTGACACGTAAAGCGTAACCACAGAAGAGAGATACCAACCAATACTAATCACTTTTGTTCTACGATAGATATCGCTTCATATCGATCGGTTTTGGAGCTTTTAATTTTTACGCTTCTTTTTGCTGCGATCGCGAAATTTGAGCGGGAAAGCTCATAAAAACAACCTAAAACTCCTAAAACATATATGAAACTGAAGCTAGCGCTTAAAATTAACAGCTAATATGGCCGGCCGCCAGGGACGAACTACGTTAAGGGTCCCGTCAGGGTCGCACCAATTTTTTTTTTACTATTTAGAAGTCGTGAGATAAAAGAATCAGAAAATTGAAAAATTATGAAAACCTTCGAATGTGTGTAAACCTTGAATAAACTAAGTAGGTAAAGTGCCTGCGACAATGAATATAAAAAAACAAAGAAATAAAAAAAGTTGATGAAGTTCGTCAATAATTTATTAATTTCTCGGAAATTTACAATATAAAAAATAACATAAGTTTAGACTAAAAAATTTCTAGAAGCTAGAGCTGGTCGATGACACTCTGAGGGACTTCTTTAATTGCTAGGACCAAGAGTTGAGAGAGTTCGTTGATAATTTTTTGATTTCTCGGAATTTAAACTTGAAAAAATTACATTATTTTTTACTACAAAATTTCTCAAAGCTGGAGCTGGTCGAGGAGACTCTCAGAAAGTTCTTTAATTGCTAGGACCACGAGTTGCAAGAGTTCGTTGATAATTTTTTGATTTCCCGGAATTTTACACTAGAGAAAATTACATTATTTTTTACTACAAAATTTCTAAAGCTTCATTTTTAAAAGGAGTATTCTACAGAGGCTAAGAAATTTTTTCACCATGTCGCTGACCAAGTTCGCGAATTATTTGCGAAGTTACAGAATTTTTAAAACTTTAAATTTTGTTATTTTCTTTCCGCAAAATTTTTAGAGCTTCATTTTTAAAAGGAGTTTTCTACAGGGACTAAGGAATTTTTTCACCATGTCGCTGACCAAGTTCGCGAATTATTTGCGAAGTTAGAAAATTTTCGAAAATTTAAATTTTCGTATTTTCTTTCCGCAAAATTCCTTAGCCTCTGTAGAATACTCCTTTTAAAAATGAAGCTCTAAAAATTTTGCGGAAAGAAAATAACAAAATTTAAAGTTTTAAAAATTCTGTAACTTCGCAAATAATTCGCGAACTTGGTCAGCGACATGGTGAAAAAATTCCTTAGCCTCTGTAGAATACTCCTTTTAAAAATGAAGCTCTAAAAATTCTGCGGAAAGAAAATAAGAAAATTTAAAGTTTTAAAAATTCTGTAACTTCGCAAATAATTCGCGAACTTGGTCAGCGACATGGTGAAAAAATTCCTTAGTTCCTGTAGAATACTCCTTTTAAAAATAAAGCTCTAAAAATTCTGCGGAAAGAAAATACGAAAATTTAAAGTTTTAAAAATTCTGTAACTTCGCAAATAATTCGCGAACTTGGTCAGCGACATGGTGAAAAAATTCCTTAGCCTCTGTAGAATACTCCTTTTAAAAATGAAGCTCTAAAAATTTTGCGGAAAGAAAATAACAAAATTTAAAGTTTTAAAAATTCTGTAACTTCGCAAATAATTCGCGAACTTGGTCAGCGACATGGTGAAAAAATTTCTTAGCCTCTGTAGAATACTCCTTTTAAAAATGAAGCTTTAGAAATTTTGTAGTAAAAAATAATGTAATTTTCTCTAGTGTAAAATTCCGGGAAATCAAAAAATTATCAACGAACTCTTGCAACTCGTGGTCCTAGCAATTAAAGAACTTTCTGAGAGTCTCCTCGACCAGCTCCAGCTTTGAGAAATTTTGTAGTAAAAAATAATGTAATTTTTTCAAGTTTAAATTCCGAGAAATCAAAAAATTATCAACGAACTCTCTCAACTCTTGGTCCTAGCAATTAAAGAAGTCCCTCAGAGTGTCATCGACCAGCTCTAGCTTCTAGAAATTTTTTAGTCTAAACTTATGTTATTTTTTATATTGTAAATTTCCGAGAAATTAATAAATTATTGACGAACTTCATCAACTTTTTTTATTTCTTTGTTTTTTCATTCATTGTCGCAGGCACTTTACCTACTTAGTTTATTCAAGGTTTACACACATTCGAAGGTTTTCATAATTTTTCAATTTTCTGATTCTTTTATCTCACGACTTCTAAATAGTAAAAAAAAATTGGTGCGACCCTGACGGGACCCTTAACGTAGTTCGTCCCTGGCGGCCGGCCATATTAGCTGTTAATTTTAAGCGCTAGCTTCAGTTTCATAAAACCTATCGCTATTTGCGATTGCTTAAAAAATATTAACAAGCTTCTGTGCTTTATATAATTATAAAAATCATAAAAAAGACACTTAAATATAAAGAATATTGTAGATTGTTGATCAAAATTCCCAAGTGACAATAAACTAATTCACTTTCAATTGCAAATGCTCCGTTTTATTAAACTAGAATTGTCAATCGCACAAATTTAATTTTTGCAAATTGAGCATACCGTTCAGCAAGCTGATGCCGCTACCCCAATCGCAGCAAGAATTCGATACTCTCATTGAACGCAGCTATTGTTTTAGATAACAGTTCCTGACCCTTTCATATATTACAAGTATGCCACAGTTTGTTGTAATTACCTTTTCTCCCGCTAGATAATTTTGAAATTCCATTGTTTCTTGTGCCTATCTAATATATAATCGAATTTATGAAACTAGTATAATATAAAAAATACCCCTTCGCTTAAGGAAAAAAGTTTAGTTAAATAATCACCCCAAACTATTTTATAAGGTTTCTTGACTTTATATTGCTTTAATTGGCGCATGACTAATGTAGATCCATAGAAATGGATATACCTGTCTTTTTCTACACAGAATTGTGTTCTAAAGGCCAATTCTTGGAATAAACTGTTGCGGGTATAGTGTGGTAACAGGTATACTATATTGTGCTTCCTTTTGTGTTAAATCACGTCTCGAAAAGTGAAGAAGTTCTTTCCTTTAAATACACCTGAAATATATCCATCGGAATTTTTCGCACAGACGGCTGGTACATTAAAATAAAATAAATTAAATCGTATAAAAATTGCAATAGTTTATTGTACCTATAACGAATAATTTGAAAAATATTTTTAATTTTTGATTTTCTGATTTTGTAGGTCTTAGGTATTTGGTCGTTGTTAAGTCCTTAAAATTAGCATAATTTCTGATATTCTCTTGTGATTTATTTACTTATTTTTTCTAGGCAAATTCGAAAAACACGTGGCCTCAAATTTTGCCGTTGTTGAAGTTACCAACGTCTTGTGTCAATGGAAGTGTCGCTCTCAAACAGATTTACTTGAGGTGAGTTTCAACATTGTGAGATTTAAAATGCATTTTCAAATTATATTCTCTAAGATTTTTTTAATATTCGTTTATCAGCTTTAATAAAATAATACATTAAACCAATCTAAAAATTAATTCTATAGATAAATAAATTTATTGATCTTTTTGAATCAGGACATAAGACAAGTCACAAGTCACTCATAAGGTACAATAAGTTGATAAATAATCTAAAAATTATCTTAATAAAAATATTAATGGTTAACATTTAGTACAGAATAAAATTACAAAATAATAGTATATTGTGTAACGATCATGTATTAATTAATAACCATTACATGAGAGTTACATACGCTATTTTTTCTACACCCGATAAATAATCAAGAACTATAAATATCATATTTATATTTGTATTGAACATAATAACAGTAATTGCTCGTATTTCTATAAAAATCTACCAAATTGTAATTAATGGTATTACCTCGGGTATTGGTATTACCATAGATTTTTGGGGCAAAATATTTTGTACTGCATTTTCTGCTTTCTCCGATATTTGTGGAGGAGTTGATGGTAAGTCTTCTATGTCGCTGATATCAGACATTTAAATAATATAATTATCGAAGTTTTGCTATCTACGAAAATTTAATACGTACTAATTTTGACAACTAAAATAATTACATAGGAACCTAGGACAAACGTCAAATGCACAGCATGCTTGATCGAAAAATTATGGGTTTCTATTGATTAGAAATATGTATCGTTATGAAAAATCTGTATCATAATGGGTATCATTATGAAACGGATTATGTGCATTATTATAATACGTGTGCAGAAAAATAAAATTACACAACAAAATTACGAGACCGATAAAGTATTGTTAAAATTAGGTGTTCTGTTCCAGCAAATAAATTCGCCTAGAGAATAAAAACAATTTTCAGTTAAAAACAACTTTAAAATGTCTTATTTCTTTAATTGAATCTGGTATCAAATTGTCCTACAGCATTCATTGGAGACTTTTTTAGTCGAAATCGATTGAATCTATTTAGGTGGATATAAATTTTTCAAGGGTAAACGGGGTGTACAAAAAGGAGGATTTACGAGGTTATGATTTCTTGAGGATGTACATAATGTACAAGGATATAAAAATTATTTTACATTAATTTATTATAAAATAGAAATAAAATAGTTTTCATTTTATTACCAAGTAGGTATAACAAATTAAGATATGCTAGGCCATTTCATGGACATGTAATGTTTAATTCTACCAAATAAAAAATGACGAAAGCTCAAAAATGGAAACATTGTTACTAAATAATGTCAAAAATGATTTTTTTGCAATAGTGGAAATTGCTAAGAAATGAATGGTCCTAGAAAAAAAGGTATAAGAAAAATTTGTTTATTTTTTAAAGATCCACAATTCAGCTTGAAACGTCATTCGATTCGAGCAACTTTTTGATTTTATGTCGTCATACTTTTCTATTTTTATAACATCCTAACTATTGAGGACGTTGTATATCAAGATAGGTATATGTACAAAAATAAGAAAACACAGGCAACTACCTAAACTTATGTAGAAAGGTGAATAAAAATATATATAATTATCGCCCCTTCAATTTTATAAAAAATGGAAGGTCTTCAAGCAAAAATTTCTCATCTACTTGAATTTCTCTAAAAAAAAGTCTTCTACCAAGAACTTCCCCCTTTTGTGTCGAACTTCTAAAAGTAACAAAAAAATGCTCACCACCGATGCCGGGCCCTCCTTATACCGCTGCCGGGCCCCGGGAATTAGTCCCGGCTGCCCCCCCCCCCCCTCCCTCTAGTCGGCCCTACGTCTTTAACCTCTTTGGTGTGTTCTTTGGAAATACTTATATATTTACTTTAATTTAATACTCCACAAGCTCACGCTTTGTAACAAAATACGCAATTTTATAAAAGCTATACCGCCATTTTCTCCGTTAAAATCTTTTTTAGTTAAAACTATCATAGAAGCTCCCTTAAACTACGTATACATGTTTTACCATTCTACCATTCTAGGTAGTGAGAACACTGCAAAAAAATGAAATCCACCAATCATAGTTCATATTTTGGATACTCAACTACTATTATTTTTATTGAGATTAAATATACATCGTATACATCGATAAATAATCGATAAATAATCGTAAATAATAGCATTTTTATTTTGACCATATTTAAAAAAAAATAAATTTTAATCAAACTAAGTATATGAATGAAACTATTTTAATTACGAGTATTAAAACTAAAATCATAAAAGTGGCCGTAGACGCGTGGACAGAGTTGCTTACCTTTCACTCGAAAAGCCGGGGATCAATTCTGGACTGGCGACTATTTTTTTTTTTTCATATTTATTTTAATAAGCAGTAAAATTCATAAATTATTTTAAAATTGGTTATTTTGTCTTAATAACCAAAAATATTTTTTTTAATTTGTAGATTGGTGTAAAAAAGATATATGTACTGTACAACTCGAGTGGATTGTCCATATCGCACTCAGACGATCAAGCACTCCGCCTACGGCGTCGTGCCCAAACTTCGTCTTCGTATTATTATTTTTATTATTTTTTTATTATTATTATTATTATATTATACACGTCAGTTGTACTGTACATTTTTTTTACGACCAACTGACGAAAATCTAAAAATATTAAAAATTATTTTAGGTTATTAAGATAAAATACCTAATTTAAAAATAATTTATATTTTTACTAATTTATAAAATAAATTAAACAAGAAAAAAAGATTTAATTTACTTTGTCTCCATTCCGTCATTCGAACTCAGGTCATCCGCATGGAAGGCAAGCGTGCTGACTTTACAGCCATTTAGGTATGCGGCTAACAAATTTGGTTTTAATACTCGCAATTAAATTCATATAATTTAAATTAATAAATTATTTATACGTAATAAAATTATAGACGAAATAGAAATGCTATTATTTATCGATTCTACACAAGAATAACTCATTTTAATGTATATTTAATCTCAATAACCAAAAAATATACTGAGAATTAGTTTAACAGAATTGTCACTTAGTTAAAATTTTAAAAATAATAGCAGTCGGTTGACCAAAATATGAACTGTAATTGGTGGATTTCATTTTTTTAGTGTTCTCACTACCTAGAATGGATATGAAATATAGTCGTTCAGTTGAAAGCAGTAGCATACTTTTTAGTTTTGTAGTAGATAAGCTAATATCCTTGTGGGTGTAGAAAAATTACTTTATGATACACCGAGGTTGTAAAAATAGATTTTGAAAGATACTATTGTGTATTCCTTAAATTTAATTATTTTTATTTATAATCAAATATCAGTTTTTACACAATGTATATCAGCTTCTAACATGTTGGCAAATCGGAAAACGATACAGAAAGTGTGAGGATGTATCAGGATTTCGGAGGAAGTATGAAGGATGTATTAGAATTTCCGAGGATGTTATGAAGGATTTGTGAGCATTTCTATGGAAGTATGGAGGATGTTTAAGGATTTGCAATGATTTATTTCTATCAAAAGGATGTAGGTGTACAAAATTTAGGTTAGTGATTTGCCCTTCTATAGAAACATTGCAAAAGAAAATGATTAGTGCATTAAAAATTACAGCCAATTAAATTGATGAATATATATTGGCAAATTCTGAAATAGAACATTAAAAGAACTTTTATTATGAAAATAGTAATTTTGATACAGTGACAGCCACTTGCAAGAACATCCGTTAAATATTGTCATAAATGTTGGAGCTGGAGAATGTGCTCTGTTTAAATCACATGAACTTGAAATACAGTTAGACAAATGTAGAATGTTAACTTCAGGAAGGCTTGAAATTAATGTCACTCTTTTTTTTTTTTCGAATATTCAAATGTTTTAAACACACATCAAGAGTTTTTGAAATAAAGATATAATTTTATTGAAATATTGTCGTATGTAGAAACAGAAAAAAAATGTCAAAATATCTACCTTTATACATTTCACTATCCATCATCAAAGAGGGAGTACTTTAGTACACGTATTAATTAGTATTAATAATTGGAGACACGTAGAACAAAGGCAGTATCTTAGGGTCAAAATTAGTTTTCTCCAATAATCGTCTAATATCAGAAATTATTAATTTCCAGGAAGGTTATAGAATTTAATTTATTCTTATTCTTCATACATAATTGTGTCGAAAATTAAATCGTATCATATTTTGTTTACCTGCAAAAATTACAATCGCGTTACTTTAAACTGAGTTATTATCATAGATATATAACAAAGTTATTATTTCTAGTATTAGACGTATAACGTTGTTTCGCTAGATCTTTTGCTGTTTACCCTCTTTAGAGTATAAGACGTACCCGAGTGGATTAGGTTAAAAATAATTAAATAACGTTCCATACCTTGAAAAAACTTTACTACTCGAATTTGGTAAAATTTGTAGAGCGGATAAACAAATTTTCCAAAAAATAAAGTAACCATAGCTTTTTTACATTTTATTAATGTACTTTATTGCTATTTGACTCCTGAACCACCATTGCTCTGTGTCCCAATTAGTGAGGAGACAATTTGTATTCTTTGAAACGTGCGTATGATACACTAATGCCGAGAAACATTCAAACTTCACATAATTTCACTTTGGAATAGACATATCGCCTCGGGAGGACCGTACCTTTCATTGTTTGATTCGAAACCACTGCCTATACGGAAAAACTAATTGAAAGCCACTGTAAATCCTAAAAAAAAAAACATTTTAGCGAAACCAGTTAACTCAGTGATCTCATTTTCCAAAACAAATTTTGATCTAATTTTTCCTGTTCCACAAGCTTTTAGAACACTTCATTTATTGACGAATCTTGAATCCCAACTCTTCATGTTTTATGCTCTTTTATCATACAGTTAATGTTTTCCACTTTATTCACTACACACAATTAATAATTACTCAGTATGACAGAATGGCAACATTTCATATCGATACTTCATAGACATTTGATTGAATAATAAAATAGTTCATTTTCTTCTTAATGCCTAGATAC